CGACTTTCACCTTCACTTCATGTACTTGCTTTACAATGTTGTGTTAGCTTCTGCTGTACCACAAAGTGACGCAGCCATATGTACACATACCTCCCTCCCTCTTGAGCTTCCTCCCTCCATCCCACCCTCTAGGTCATCACAGAGCCCCGAACTGACTCCCTATGTTACACAGCGGCTTCCCACTAGCTGTCTACTTACACCTGGGGGGCATACCTCAATGCTACGCTCCCAGTCTGCCCCACCCTTCCCTGCCCCCGCTATGCCCACGTGTTCGTTCTCTACATCTGCATCTCTGTTCTTGTCCTGCAAATGGTACCTGTCATGTGGAGTAAGTTAAGTCAGAAAGAGAAAAACAAATGTTGTATATTAATGCATATATATGAATCTAGAAAAATGGTACTGATTAATTTATTTGCAGAACCATTTCTTTATAAGAGGCCTATAACAATCAATTATGGGTAGGTATTTGAGATGTTGCCTAAGGTTAGGAAGGTCTTCTGAACCTACTGGAAGGTGAGCAACATGAGGACAGGAACCTGTTCTGACCACTGTTGTATTGAATTGCCTCGCAGATGCATTGCCTCCCATCCTGGAAGCATGGTGTGACTGCTTAGTTGCTCAGTTGTTTCTGACTCTTTGCAACCCCATGGATGGTAGACTCCTAGGCTCCTCTGTCCATGGAATTCTCTGGGCAAGAACACTGGAGTGGGCTGCCATTCCCTTCTCCAGGGGATCTTCCTGACGCAGGGATGGAATCCACATTGCAGGCAGATTCTTTACCATTTGAACCGCAAGAAAGCATGGTACTTCCCCCATAAATACTGTTTGACTAACAGGAAATGTTATTGTTTGCTCTGCTTTGCTTCCTAAGATAGAAAATTGGAATCATATATTTCAGAAAAATTGTCAACAACAAATAGTAAAACAAGAAAAATATTTTTTCATTAACTTTCAGCTGATTAGGAAATTTAAATAACTGAAGGGCTGTAAGAAAATTTCTTAGTTTATGAGTCATCCATTTATAGCAAACAAATTGAAAGGGAGTCCATTGTGAGTCCAATCTGGCAGGCTCCAGAACCTAATCACCTGGTAGAATATTTGTAATGCTCTTCCTATGGGGAATGCCTGAGCCTAATTCCATATAACCAACTTTCAAGGAAACTCTTAGAAAGGAAACTAAGAGATGGGACCATGTACATTGCCTTTAATTGGAAGCATAATCTGTGGTTAGTGATTCCTTTCAGTAACTCGAAGTCATTAAAGAAGAGAAAAGAGCTCCATTTTCTGAAGCTGTGAAAGAGCATACTAATAATAACTAACATGAACTTGATTTTCACAATGTGACAGTCTCTATTCTACAGGCTCCAAATGCTGTAGTTTATTGCATTCTTGCTACAACCTTATGAGTTAGGTATAATAATTATCTCCATTTTTATAGAAAACTAAGGTTAGCAGAAATTAAACTACTGGTTAATAGTGGATCTGGTATTAGAGCCAAGGTCTGGTTGACCCCTAACTAGACCTTGGCTCTCATACCAAAGACCTCTGTAGACTATCTCTCTTGGAATGCAAAGGCTAGTTGCCTCCTGATCTGATGGGGAATCGGAGGCGACCAGTCCTGCAAACAGGCCATCTGAGCTCACCTCCTCATGACATCAGGGAGTCAAAGGCTTCTATTCAGATCAAGGACTGACCATTGGAATTTGGCAATGCCAAGGTCAGTCTTGACCTTGACAAGAGCTTATCTGGAAGAGTGATGAACTAGAAGTCTGTTTGCCTTTAAGATTAAAGGAAGATAGTAGAAATAATGAGTGTAAACAATTCTTTGATGAATTTTGTTGTAAATTGCCACCAAGACTTGAGGTCACTAATTGGAAGAGAGGTAGAGTTGGAAAAGATTTTTTAAAGATAGAAACATAGTGGCATATTTGTATATGGATGGGAATGATCCAGACAGAGGAAAACACCAGCTTAGAGAAGAAAGGGGGGGAACCCATGTCAGAGGGCATGGAGGATCTGACATACAACGGAGAAGCTGGCCTTAGCTGGAGAATGGATGGTTCATCCATAGTGACAAGACAGCAGGAGAGTAAGCAAACCAGGCGAACGGAGAGCGATTGCTGGGCTGCACTGATGTCCACTCGAGGTGGTGCTCAGTCGTGTCCGACGCTCTGCCACCCAGGGACTGTAGCCCACCAGACTCCACTGTCCATGGGATTTCCCAGGCAACAATACTGGAGTGGCTTGCCATTTCCTTCCCACTTGAGGTTAGTGGTCACATATTGAAAATAAGACCAGTCAGCACGATGGTATGCTTTTCTAATCATGTTTCACTGGGTGTTGGCAGAGACAAGATAGATTTTATCAGGGGTACGGTTTTCCCAAAGACTTAGTAGACAGAAAGAGAGGTGGATTTGAAGGCGTATATAAGAGAAATGATAATAGTAAACCTAGAAACTAGGGTGGTTAAAAGAGGAAGGAATGTCAAGAGGGAGAGCAAGGGACACAGAAAAGTTCACAGGATCAGTAAATTACAGCAGCTGTTGGGGTCAAGGAGACACTGGGTGAGGTTAACAGGAAGAATAAGCTGGAAGGCTTGGAAGGCTGGGTGGTGGCGATAGGAGAGTGGAATGCTTGGTGTTGAGATTGCAGATGGTGTCACTAGGAGGGCAGGAAGCTGGGATAGCTAGAGGTGCAGGAAGGGAGAGGACATTGAAGAGTTAAGAGACCAGAGTATGAGAAGAATCCACTGGTAGATTTGGAAATAAAAATTATCATGGGAATGGTATTGGGGAAAGTGTCAGTGATCCAGATGCCAACACCTTCAAGAAATGAGGTAGAATAACACAGAGGCCTGTAGACAGCTACAGTAAGAGGCGTGGACAACATGCTCTGTTATTTTCAAGGAGAGCTGGGTCTCCTTCAGAGTGAGGAGTTGAAAGAAACTTTGATGAACCATGAATGAAAGGGAAAGTGAAAGGCGCTCAGTCATGTCCAACTCTTTGGGATCCAGTCCATGGAATTCTCCAGGTCAGAGTACTGGAGTGGGTAACCTATCCCTTCTCCAGTGGATCTTCCTGACCCAAGAATCGAACAAGGGATTTTCTGCATCGCAGGCAGATTCTTTATCAACAGAGCTATCAGGGAAGGCCATGAATTCCTGAGGGCAAATGGAGATTTTCAGGAGATGGGAGGGGATGTCTTGATCTGTGCAAACACTCACCCAAGCACATTCACTTCTTCGATTTCAGAGCTCAGACTGTCAGGAGTGGGGAAAGCAGAAGAGGACAGAGAGATAAGTTAGGCAGCTCAAGAACGGTTGCTTTGGGGAGTTCCCTGGCCTAGTGGTTAGGATTCTGGGCTTTCACTGCTGTGATCCTGGTTCAGGCCGTGGTCAGGGAATGGAGATATCCCTCAAGCCACTCTCAGGGCAGCCAACAAAAAAGGAAGACGAAGCAGAACGGCTACCCTGGTGGGGAAGGAGGACAGTCTCACCCTGGCCCCCAGCCATGCCTCTGTGGGCACTCGGAGGGTGGCTTCTATCAGTTGTAGACTGTCAGCGGAACACCCAGAGATGGCTGAGGTTTACAGAATGAGGGCACCTTAGCACAGGTCCATAGGCCCTTGGGCTGCTGCAGCTGGCGATCTGATCAGCCTGAGACTACAGAATGTCCCCGGGACGTTGCCCAGACTGTTAACTCTCCAACTACCAGTGTCCAAGGACGGGGATGGAGAAGAGGCAGCCGTTTTCTGTGTCTGCGCCTTCCTTCCTCTGCCTCCTCCCAGCATCTTTAGAACACATTCCCATAGCCCAGGGCCCTCCTGAGTGAGGTGTCAGTCAGTCCTGGTAGAACACACATAATGCATCTGTACAAGTTATTCGGGCCACTGACCTAGGGAGGGAGATTCCTGACATGAATTTCTTTAGGACCTACAACTCAAACTTTCAGACCCAAACTTTTGTTTCTACATTCCGTACGTGAAACTGCTCAGCTATTTTTATATTAGAAGGAATATGGCTCTGCTCTCTCCTGACACGTGCGCGCGCATACACACACATTATCACAATGATGCGCAGTCATCCATAAATTACTTAACTTCTGAGCCTCAGTTTCCCTACCTGTGCACTGAAGACATATTACCTTCCCTGCTAGTCTCTTAAAAGGAAGAAATATTGCTTGGAGTGGAGTCAGAATTCAGGTTCAAAGGAGAGGATTGGGGGCGTTGGAAACCATTGCTTGCTGCAGGGAATATTCAAGCTCTGAAACTCCTGCCTCTCTCCAGGAGAAGCACAGAAAAAAAAAAAAAAAACAAACACGATTTCCCAAGCATTATAACAGGACAGACATAATACAAAAATGCAGAAATCGTTTTACAACTGGTGACGCGCTCGTTCGTCATAAATGGTCAGAGAGGGTGGGGGTGGGGAAGATGCCCTCCCACCGGGAGTCTGGAGGCAGCGCGCGCGCCACTGCCGAGGGTGAAGGCCGCGGTCGCCTAGCAACGGGTAGCGGGGATGCGCACGGGCGCTCCATCGGGTGGGCGCAGGGAGCTTGCCGCCGCCGCTGTTGCGCGCTCTCGGGCCTCCGGGACCCGCAAGGAAACTTTGGGGATCCTGGGGGCCGGGGCGTCGACACTAGACCCGGGGGACGCCGCGATGCGCCCCGCGGGCTGAGGACAGAGGGCGAGGTCGCTGTCTGGCGCGCCGGGCCGGAGAATCCATGGGCTCGCACCTACGGAAAGTTGGCGCGCACCTGCCTGCGCCCAGAAGACGCTTGGTTCCTGGGCCGAACTGCTCCCCGCCAAGTTTCTTTGACAATTTCTTACCCCAGTGGATCTGGCATCTGGAACCCCGTGAGGCCCCGGGTTCACGGATTCCCGTCCCTGGGAGAGAGAAACGCGCTCTTTTCTACGGGACCTGCGCGGTAACTGATGTTTAATCGATTCGTCCTGAATGGTTGAGATTCTATTTTTGTTTTCTGCTTTTCTTCTTTCTCCAGACAACGAGTTTGTGGAAGCCTCTCCCGCGCTCTACAGCCCGGAGGAGTTCGGTAAGTTTACCCCTTTTGCCTTTTCTTGTCGGAATCCAGTCTGGGAATAGCGAATTTGGTGGGCACCCGGATCCAAGACCGAGGGGCGGAGAGAAGGGGCTGGCCGGGGGACTCTTGCCCTGCTGCATGTTCCTTTCGAGGTGAGAACTGGCTTCTTCCTGGAGCGTATGCTTTGGAGGGGCCTGGGGCGGGGAGAGTCTGGTGTGTGTGTTGGGGGGGGGGTGCGGGGAGAGTCTGGTGTGTGTGTGTGTGTGTGTGTCCAGGCCTGGGGCGGGGAGAGTCTGGGGTGTGTGTGTGTGGGTGTGTGTGTGTGGGTGTGTGTCCAGGCCTGGGGCGGGGAGAGTCTGGGGTGTGTGTGTGTGTGTGTGTGTGTGTGTGTGTCCAGGCCTGGGGCGGGGAGAGTCTGGGGGGTGTGTGTGTGTGTGTGTGTGTGTCCAGGTCTTTGGTGATGCTCCCAGGAGGGCGCCACAGCAAACTTCTTGATCTGCGGGCCCCTGCAAGCAGGCCGTCTCATTCTGCCTGGAAGGATGCAGCTAGCTGGTAAATGCCACAGGAAGGACATCGTGTGGCTACTCCCTAACCTGAATTTAATGAAGTCCAGGGCCAAAAACGTTCTGGTAATTACATTTCAAGACCTGGGAGCTGCAATCGTCCTTGACTTGTTTTTCCTCCAGGTGTCTGGGAATAGGGCATTTCATCCTCTTCTGCCTGTCATTCTAAGTGTAGATTTGTGGTGGGTGAGCCAGGACACACTTGTCAGAAACAGACTTCCTCCTGTGAAGAGAAGGACATTTGTGTTGTCGGGATAGCTCCGAGCATTCCTGCCACCCAGTCTCATTTAGTAGCTTAGTGGTTGACGGTTTTGTTTTTCTTTTTCTTTCTCAGTCTCTTTCCTTAAGCCGCGAACAATCTGGGCTGTCAAGTCTGTCCCTGCTGTTCTTTTATCACCAGCTTGAACATCTCGCCTTCCTTCCGTGAAATGACAGCTGTTTAAAAATGTTTATCCACAGTGAGGCACTGAGCCTTGGGTACCATGTGTCTGATCATCCTTTCCTCCTGGTCTGTGTGTCCTCGGCAAGACCCATGCTGGCTAAAGTGAATTAAATTCCACCGCAGCAAGGACTTTCATCCATTTCTAGGAGCCAGGCACCCAAAATAGGTCTGGATCAAGGGAGGCATTCTGAGGCAGGGGAGAGGACCTTGTTTAATTCAAAAAATGTGTTTCTGACAAGTTGTGAGGCAATCACATCTCTGGAAATGGAATCACAAATTAAATGCATGAACAAAACTAGCTTCTGAAGGTGCACTGTGGTGAGCCTTTTTATGAAACGGAAATGACATGTAAACCATAGCTTTTCATAAAGCAGTTTCTGAAGAGGGCAGATTCTTGGTGATCTGCTCCACATGTGTTTAATTGTTTTAATGACACCAGCATTGGTGCTTCACCATGTGACAGAAGCTCCTTGGTTCTCTTAAATTATAGATAAGTGTCAGCCATGGCAGAATGACCAGTCCTTGCTCTGAGAAACCACCTGTATAAACACCTAAAGGTTTGCATTTGCAGAATGATTTATGTACCTGAAAGGCCCAGGTGATTGGTCCTCATTTGTTTTCATCTCTCCCTTTGGGACTAACAGACTGGACGCCCAACTGAGGTGCTAATCAGTAGGGGGAGCCCTTCAAATTAGTAGTAGAAACTCAGAAAGCAGCATTTTTTCCCCTTCAGCTCCTCTGTGGGGAAAGCCCAGTTTTTTATGAGGAGGTGAGAGTGTTATAGGAATCCCGGGGTTCCCTCCTGGGCTCTGGGATGCAAGATGATTGAGAATATAAAATAATATAAAACACAGAGTCAGAGTTTGAGACCAAGTTTCTGGCTGCTATGCTTTTCCTAGTATAGGCTTGTGCTCAGTCGTGTCCGACTCTTGCAATCCCATGGACTGCAGCCTGCCAGACTCCTCTGTCCATGTGATTCTCCAGGCAAGAATACTGGAGTGGGGTGCCATTTCCTACTCCAGGCGATCTTCCCGACCCAGGGATTGAACCCGTGTCTTCTGCGTCTCCTGCATTGATGGGGAGATTCTTTACCACTGAGCCACCCGGGAAGCCCTTGCCTGCTTTAGTAGATCTGTTAACCAGTCTGTTTTCTCATCTTTGAAAAGCAGGGGTTGTGCCAAGCAGCCTCTAAGGCATCACCCAGTTCAAGCCTCCTGAAATCTTAAGCCAAAGGAGGCTTGTGGCTGTTAGGTATTTATTGTTTACACCGGGTGCTATGCTGCTTGGGTACATGGTGTCTCCAGAGGGACTTCCTCTTCCTGACAGAGCAGCTCATTGGATGAGACTGCATTGTTTCCATGCTATTCAGGTCAAAGAGGGAGCTGGCATTTTTTTCCTTGGAAAGAATCATGATACTTTTCGGTGCTTTCCTTAGACACACAGCAGGAAAGATTACCCTACAGCAGTTGATGAGCTTGTCAAGCAGCCATCCTTTCTGAAGCACAAAAGAGCACAGATTCACCCCTTGGCCAGGATCTCAGGGACCTGGAGAAGAGATGGAGGGAGGCCGTGAAGACTTAATTTGAATTCTATCACTGCACTGACCTGTGACCTTGAGCAGATGACAAAACTGCTCTGAGCCTCTCAACCTAATTGCAGACCTTGCATGGCTGTGGTCAATGGTGTGTGTAAAGTCCTAGCCCCACATGTTGTATGTGCAGATATTCAGGAAGTGCTTATGGCTGTTAGTTTATTTTTATTATTATTATTATTAAGTTAAAAGACACATTCCCAGTACATGAAGGATGGACTAGCTCTCACCATTTGTCCCAACCTATTAACTGAAACCATTTTTATTTCTAGAAGTTCCTCTGTAATTTGCTTATTCTTCAAACAGATGCTCAGAAATGGTGATCAGGTCATTTGAATTATTTAGTGATTTGTTTTGGAGCTACATGTGGAATGGTGTTCCATCCAGGGTCTTCACTGCTTCAGTGACAGTCCCCTACTTTCTTGTGATGCAATAGGTAGACTACTTCAACTCCAAATTTCATATCAGTCTCCAAATAAGCCATGACTAGCGCTTTGGGGCATTTATTCTCAGTGTTGCATCAAGATCACGTAATGAATTTAAGTAACCAAAAAGGGGTTTTTGTTCCCCTACATTCCTACTTTCTGCCCTCTGACCACCCTGAGGCATCTCTTGTGCCCCCCAGAAGTGCATCACACTTCCTGTTTCTCAGGCCTGTGAATAAAATAAACTTTTGTTTCTCTCTACAAAACAAAAAGGAATTTTTGAAAAGGCAGTGAAAATAGGAGTCTAACTCGAGATGAATGCTGTGTTGAAGGTGTCTTCTGATGGAGAGTCCAGAAATATGCCCTCTCTCTTGTGATGGTACCATTTTCTAGAGGCAAAATCCTCATCGTTTCTCCATAGTCCTTCTATAGCCCTGTGAGTAGGTAGAAATGATGGCCATCAAGAGGGTAAGAGAATGCATGGAGAGTTGGAATGAACCCAGGTGTGATCATGTCTGCCCCTGTCTAATAACCTTTATCAACTTCCTACTACCTGGAAGATAGACATTCGGTTACTCATGGGGTAACGTCCATCATTTGCATCATTCCCACTCACCATAACCTTCTGTTTATATTGAGCAACAGGACAGTCTAAATGCAGCTCTGGCTACATAATACCTCCCCTTCTCTCTTCCTCTCCTGGCTGGCTCCTGCCCTTCCTTCAACACTCAGTTCATGTGTCACGTGCTCCTAGGGATTCTCCACCCTGCTCATTAGAATCAGGGGAACTATTAAAAGTCCTAAGACCAAATCGTAACCCTGACCAATTACATTAGAATCCCTGGAGTGTGGACCTAAGCATCCATATTTTATCACTGTGTATTTTAAAAACTGAATCCCAAGTGATTCTGGTGTGTAGCCAGGGTTGTCAGTACTGTATGAGGTTGTGGCCACTTCATTCTTCTTTACAGATCTAGCAGCCAGCCCAGTAGCTGGTACAGGAAATGCTTATTGAATGAGTGAATGAGGGTCACCTCTGAGATGCTTTGTCTTTTCACAGTTGTATATTCCTAAGATGGAACTGTCTGTTTGTCATACCAATGCTTTGGGGCACTTGTATCCTTCGACCTGTATCTCTCTCATCTGTTCATTCCTTAGGCTTAATCAGTTTATTTTGTTTCTTAAAAATTGAAATTTTAAAACCACTTTTTAGTATAAAAGTAGTACATGCTTACTTTAGAAAATTTGGGCGTTAGGAAGAACGGAAGAGAGCCCACTCCCTCACCACTGAAAAGCACATGGACATGGATGGTCACTGTTTCCTTAACTTTTCCTAATTTTCTGCCCTTTGGGGCTTCTTGACCCTCTGAAATGCCTCAGTGTGTTCAATTGATGCTCTTTTTTGCTCAGACCCTGGGAACTTTCCTAAGTCCCCAAAGGAATGTTCATGGGAACAGCATTCTTGAGAGACCAGGGCCAGTGCCCCCGGGGCCAGTGTACCATGAGAAAGGGTATTCTTGTGCTATTCTTGCCTTCCTTATTCAAGCAGGATGTAGGGGCTTTATTACAATAATTGGTCACAGTTATGTAACTTCTTTAAAACAGTGAATGTTTGCCAGCCCACCCCCTTGCCCTCCTAAAATGGGATGAGAGGGCACTGCTGGATAATAGTCCTTATGTCTGTCAGAGTGCAGCAACTGGGACATATGAAAATAGTCAGGATAGATAGATGAACTGCTGCTGTAACAAACAAGCTCAGATGCAATGACTTAACACCATAAAGGTGCTGTTTGTTGCTTGTATTGTAGTCAAGTGTTGAGTTGTCAGAGGGCTCTGATCCATGTAGTCATGGAGAACCCCAGGCTCCTTTCCTGTTTTCATCCATCCTAGTCTATAGCATCAGATTCCTTCACTGGATGCTTTACATACATTTGGCAGACAAGTGAATAAGGTGAGCAGGACAAAGGTACGCTCACCGACGGTTGTCTCAG